TCAAACTCTTCCAAACGTGAATAAAGAACCAAAAAAAGGCTAGTTGGAAACCTGAGAATAAACCAGAGTGGGTTATTTTCCCCGGTTAGGGTCTTCTGGGTCAGGTTTCACATCATACAATCACACAAACACCTTTAAAAGGCCCCTAACTCAAGGGCTGAGCCAGGAATGAGACAATCCTACAGACATAAATGACTTCAAACGCTTCCAAATGTGAATAAAGAACCAAAAAAAGGCTAGTTGTAGTAGTTTTTCTACTACCGATTTAGGCAGAACCGAATATATTTAATATATATATATATATATATAGGCTAGTTGGAAACCTGAGAATAAACCAGAGTGGGTTATTTCCCCGGTTAGGGTCCTCTGGGTCCGGTCACAATCACAAAAACACCATTAACTCATTGACTGTCAGCCATTTTCAGAACAGAGTCCCATACTGCCAGAGTTTTTGGAGCATTTTGACTGATTTTTCTAGAGCCACAGAATAGTTTGTGCTATGACTATGTAAACACCGAACACACCAAAAGAAAGAGTAGACTCTCTTCTTTCATCAGGAAAAAAAATGTGTTTCTACCTTATTCCGTTCTTCCTGGACTTGCGTCTCACCGGCGACATGTTCTCTCATAGAACCGTTCCCTTTTTCTTATTTGCCTACAGTCTATGCTCATCTCCCATCAAAAGTGGCACTGCCCCCTAGAGGCTCAATTTGTTACTACATACTCTGTCTAGAAGCCCATATTTACGGACTAGCTTTAGCAGATCGTCCCCCAGACACTCTCATTAAAAACATAAAAGACCTCTATAGACGTCTCTGGCAGCCAATGAGTTAAAAGGCCCCTAACTCAAGGGCTGAGCCAGGAATGAGACATTCCTACAGACATAAATGACTTCAAACTCTTCCAAACGTGAATAAAGAACCAAAAAAAGGCTAGTTGTAGTAGTTTTTCTACTACCGATTTAGGCAGAACCGAATATATTTAATATATATATATATATATGCTAGTTGGAAACCTGAGAATAAACCAAAGTGGGTTATTTTCCCCGGTTAGGGTCCTCTGGGTCAGGTTTCACATCCCTAACATGTATGGAATCACACAAACAGCTTAAAAAGGCCCCTAACTCAAGGGATGAGCCACGAATGAGACAATCCTACAGACATAAATGACTTCAAACTCTTCCAAACATGAATAAAGAACCAAAAAAAGGCTTTAAAAACCAATCGGCTCCCTCTGTTTCAGACAATGAGAGCTAAATATAACATTTATTCTCTGTTCAGCCACTTAATTCTGAGTAATCCAGGCAGGAGAAAGGCCCCTAACTCAAGGGATGAGCCAAGAAATGAGACATCCCTACAGACATAAATGACTTTAAACGTGAATAAAGAACCAAAAAAAGGCTTTAAAGTGTTCCTTAGGGACTCTGATCCAGGATTTCTGAGCTCTTTCAGGTTTTTTGTTGGACATTTTCTACTTTTTCCATTCATATTTGTCCCGTTTTAATCTTCGTTAAGTCAGAAAAAGGCCCCTAACTCAAGGGATGAGCCACGAATGAGACATTCCTACAGACATAAATGGCTTCAAATGTGAATAAAGAACCAAAAAAAGGCTTCAAAGTGTTCTTTAGGGACTCTGATCCAGGATTTCTGAGCTCTTTCAGGGTTTTTGTTGTACATTTTCTACTTTCTACATTCAGATTTGTCCAGTTTTAATCTTTGTTAAGTCAGAAGAAGGCCCCTAACTCAAGGGATGAGCCAGGAATGAGACATTCCTACAGACATAAATGACTTCAAACTCTTCCAAACATGAATAAAGAACCAAAAAAAGGCTAGTTGGAAACATGAGAATAAACCAGAGTGGATCAGAAGTATAAAAATGACCTCTCTCTGGGGATAAATTAATTAGTAAATTGTAATTAAATAAATGGAATTAGAATAAACTCTTGCTAAGTCCACTAAACTCACAAAACTTCTCATGAAATAAATTTTTGGAAAAATCTGAAAAATAGAAA